GTTTTTAAAGTTAATTCGCCACCATCACATTAATTTTAAAATAACCGCTACCTGCTTTCTGCTCTTAGATTCCTTGACAGCTTTTGATTTGTGATGTTTCCAAAGTCCTAAACCTGGGGCGGGACACGTTGTACACAGTCCAGCTCTGCCTGTCGGGAGTAAATCATATTTTTTTTAAAACAAACTGCAGCTCGACAAGAGATTGGGAAGGATTTTGAAGAGGAAATTTGTATATTTTGGCTGTTGAAAGTTAAGTGAAAACACAGACACATTTTTATCAGTTTGATCAACTTGTTTTAGTAAAAAAAGTTTTTTCACTTATTTCTGCTCATTTCTCAGATGAATTCCTGCTGTTTTAATACCAAACAAACCCTGAACTTTAAAACGCCCACATATACTCTCCTGTTCTGTACATATTATGTGTATTCTTGTACTATAACGGCCTTTTTCTAAACCGACTGGAAACGTATTGACTTGACGAGAGCGAGGAGAAAAGAGTCGCTTGTTGGACCAGTAAGAGAGAATATTTCTTCTGTTCGTGTTTTTTCTTATGTAATTCTGATTTATTACATTTTTTTGTAAAAATGCATTACAAATTTTGTAACTGCAAAAACTCTCCTGTGAGGAAAAAAGTACCATAAATAATAATAATAGTATTTTAAACTAGCTTTACGTCTCCTGTTGTGATTTATATCCTCGTGGGTGAACGAGTCTCTTTATGCCGTCTGGCTGTTTGAATGTGGTGGGACGGTTAAATAAATACGGCTGAGAGCAAATGGAGGTTGACGGATGATGAGTGGACTCTGCGGGAGCTTGGAGAGATGTGGTGAAAAGACTCATTTAGGGGGAAGTTAGTGGACTGTGTGGTGGTGGGGGTGGGGGGTGTTCAGCTCATTAAAACATATTGATGACCCTGTGGTGTGTGGGGGCCACTTAAAGCCTAAAACCAAAGATCAGAAATCAATAAATCAAACCAGTGGTTGATGGAGAATGTTTGAATTAAGTGCTACAGCAATAAAAGATGTCCAGAAGTGTACATTTATAAATGAATGTAAGAGTTTAAACTCATTTTACTACAAAATAAAGTGGTAAAAGTCAACTTAATTTATCCTCTGTGATGGATTTCATTTCAAATATAGGATACAACCTCAGTAAAGTCAAACAGAAACTACTATAAGTAACAAAAATACCTTAAAAAAGTATCACTACACAACATCAAACCTTTATCTGAAATATAAACTAACTTTGTATTAATAAATCTGTAATATTCAATAAACTATAGTTTATATAACAGGTTCCTTGAATTAACCAGTCTTCTCCCCCTGCCTGTTAAAAATGAACATTATCTACTGTTTATTTATGTAAAATGTTCACTTAGCATCTCTGTATTAGTACTTACAGTGAATACTTGCATCACTTTCAGCTGTTTTATGTTGTTTTCTTGGCAAGAATGTGCTTCTATAATAAATGCAGTCAGCTAAATTAACTGTTAGGAAGAACCCAGGGAAGTCCAAATATGAATTATTCCTCAAGAGTCTGGGATTTTTTAGCATCAAACACTAATAATAACATGTTTTTGTTCTGAGAAATGTATTTTTTTTTACATCCCACACTGAAATAATCTCACATCGTCCTCCGGGGGGGTCGATAACATGTGGATCTGTCAACCGAGTGGTGCTTTTAATGGATATTAGGGGCTTTAGGTGGCTGCCGGTCTGTGGAAATAATAAAGAAAACATCTGTGGATAAAAGAAGTAAAGAATCTGGGCTTTTTTTTTTTAGGGTGGGAAGCGAGGGACTGAATTCTTCTTGTCCGGCCCAGATCGAAGAACAGAGGACTGATGGGGAAAAAAAGAGGAAGAACGTGGGGGCGTGAACGATAGCAGAGGGCGAAGCAACACACAAACTGAGCGCATGAGGAGGAATAAAGCAGCTAAAGTGCAAAATGAATGATTGTATATGAATGAAGGAAAAGAAGTGAAGAGAAACAGGCCCACGCTGAAGCACCGTGGGAGGCAGGGTGGAGGAATGTTTATGTTGGGGAGCGAGGGAGCAGAGTGGCGGAGAACGAGAGGAAGATGAACGAGAGGGAGGCGAGCGATGAAGGGAAAGTTAATCAGATCTGAAGACATAAAGCAGGATGTATCGCCTTGTTAGTGGTAGTGAAGTGTCCAGATCTTCAAGCAACATTAACTTAAAGTATTAAAAGTGTTTTATTATTAATATTACTGCTGCATTCATGCGTCTGTTGCCTTTTACTGTTGTTGGAGGAGTGTGTGTGTGTGTCTCAGCTCTCCAGTCTTTCCCAGTTTATTCAATTCAAACAAAATAGCCAGTTTTTCCATCACCTAACTTTGGAGCGTTATTTAGCCCTCACTTCCCAACATGCTAAAACGACATGGTTGGTGACAACTGATGCGTTTTGTCTTGTAGTTTCAGATGATACAAGTATCTTTACTCTAGCTTCTGAACGCAGCCTGCTACAGCCTCTGGAAGACCGGATGTAGTGGGAGATGTAAGGGTAACGGGGTACTTTTATATTCAGAGTTGGGGGAACAACAACAAATTAAACTGTAAGATAACTTAAAAATAAAAATATTCATCATTTTATGGTATCTTTATGATATTTATATATTTTTATGTTATATTATGTGCCCGCATGTGTGGTTGTTGATGTTATTTTTGACATTTAAGATGCTCTTTGGGGCACTAAAGGTTTCATTCATTCATTTGACCACAAGGTGTCGCCCTTTACACAATAAAAGCTCCAGAGACTCAAGCTTTCTGCAGTCAATAGTCATATATCAAATCACTATAAATCACTTCTTGCTCAGTGATCATTGACATTACAACTGTCTCATAGACTGTTTTCATTACTTACTCATAATAACCTCTTCCTTGGTTCGTGATATAAATGAGAATATAAAACAAATTTCACTTTCTGTTTTCTGTTGTACATAAATACCAATTTATGGTATTTATGTAATAAGAACTTCCTCTCTTTAATGTTACATTTCACACAAAAACACCCAGATTTGATTTAACTCTTTGTTCCAATGTAGATTTTTTGGCTTATTCCAAATGTAAATATTACATTATTTTCTTTAAATTAAAAAACAAAATATTGATTTTAACTTTTTAAAATAATAATTAAAAAAATGAAATAAAAGCTAATATATAGCACATCCATATAGGGTTTATCTATAAATGAACTTTTTGGATTATTTACCTCTCTAAAACTGCTACTACTGCAAATATCTCCACACCTAACCTTTTAAAATATTATATAGCACATCTAGGATTCATGTATGGATAAACTTTTTGGATTATTTACCTCTATAAAACCGGTACTACTGCAAATATAAAAAATTTTAACTCAGACCTAACCTTTTAAAATAATTAAAAATATATATGAAACGTTAATATACATATAGATATATATATAGAGCACATCTAGGATCAGGCCCGGCCCTGATCAATTTGGCACCCTAGGCAAGATTTTAGGTGGCGCCCCCCCCCTTGCATCGCAGTAAATTCCACTGCCAGTTATATACATACATATACTCACGCAAGAAACTGAATAGCTTTGTCTTTGACAT